AAAAATCTCTGGTGCGAAAACCCAGTTAGCTATTTATAAGATCTGTGAGGTGTTTAATAAAAACGGAGAACACAAGATTTGTGAGGCTCCAAAAAGGAAACTGGATTTTCTACAGAGGTTTGTCTCCTGCTAACCTTACAACTGTGTCTTCTTTTAAAAAATCGCCTTCCGCATATAGTAGGTGACATATTTAGGTCCAAATTACTGAGTGGGAAGTATTTTTAGTTGGGTTTTATTTGTGCAAATACCTTTGTTCAATAACATGATGATCTGCAAACTGCGGGTCAGAGCTTTAAAACATTGGAAATTGGAGAAAAAAACAGCATCTCTAACTTTATTAGCTTACATTTAAATTGACCTTTTTGCCAAATGTATATGATTATACAAATGGGACTACTTTCCTGCTTGTCTTAAGCACTTTATCAATCTTCCTTTGCACATGAGACAAAGCCCAAACACACTCCCTCACCAGTTCTCCTGCTCCTTAAAAAAAGACTCACTCTGAAAAATGTTCAGTGCTGAAGTGTTTGTTTTGTCAAGCAGAAAAGTAAAACCGAGTACCTAATTTACTCAAGAAATATTCTGATTCAGCAGTTCAGGGGAGATAAAAAAAACAGAGTACATTATTAAAAAATGGAGAGTTTTTGAACAACTCACAGGTTCAAGTTGTGAAAAAATGTCATCACAGACAATCACTCATTGGGAATCTTCCTGTTTTTCTGACTTGCTGCGTTCACTTGACAACATGAGTGTCTTTTTTTAATTCACATAAAGCACCCAGCAGAGCAGACCCATACAGCCTATAGACTGAGCAGGCACACATGTCAAGAAGAAATTTGAACACTGTTCTGTGTTTTAACGAGACCCCAAACACATTAGAAGTGGTTTCTGAGTGCTGGCGAAACGTTTCTTTTTAACAAAAAAACGAAGTCCAGATGACATGATTCAACCTTTTTTGTCATGGAGAATATTGTTTTTCCACACAAGGCAGCTGACAGCTCCATATAAGGTAAGCAGACTAAACAACGCCCTGTTTAGTCCGCTTTAATTGAACTCTAACTCG